GCCGCCGCTGGGGGGGATGATGTGGTGGTGGGCCAGCAGCTGGCTGACCGAGGGGAGCACCGTGCCCGCCCCGGGGGCCACGGGCTGCATGTCGTGGAGGTTAGAGAAGGAGAGCGCGTGCTGCGCGCGGGCGGGGGCGGCCGGCGTGGCCAGCAGAGGGTTGGGGGAGGCCTGCAGGAGCCCCGGGGACGTGAGCATCGGGGAGGAGGTGGCGTCAGACACATAGGTGTGAGGCGACTCCAGGGAGTCCACTGGGGATAAGGTCACGGAGCTCTCCGACAGCTGCACCTTCTCGCTCAGGGACTTCTTGCGCCGATTCCCCTTGGCCCCCTTGGCTAGGCTGGGGAGGCTGGTGGGCACGGCGCTCTTGGTGTTGGGCCGTCTCGGCTTCTTGCCCATGGGGGTGTGCTTCAGACTGAGGAAAGCCCTGTTGGGCCCACAGATGACGGGGGAAAGGGCGGAAGTCAGCACTGCCCCCGGCGGGCTGGGCGTCACGTTGTACTCATCCAGGAGGCGCACGATGTCATGGTGCATGCGGTCGCGGGCCACGTCCCTGGGGAGACGGTCCATATGGTCGGTGATATCCCGATTGGCAAAATGGTCTAGCAGGATCTTGGCCGCTTCATAGCTCCCCTCCCGCGCAGCAAGAAAGAGCGGCGTCTCTTCCTGTACAAAGGATCCACAGAGAACACATTCTAATGGCATCCTTGATCCAGGCCCAGCGGCTCACACTCCTAACCCTAGCAACTCTGAGAATCATGGTTTGAAGCCAGCCTGAGTAAGAAAGTCTATGGGACTCTTATCTCTAACCACCAAAAAACCTAAAGTGGAGCTGTGGCTCAAGTGGTAGAGTGACGGCCTTGAGCCAAAAAGCTAAGGGGCAGCACCCTGAGCTTTCATCCAAGTCCTAGTACTGACACAAACAAAACAAAACAAAAATACCCCACTCTTGAGAGAAGAGCAGCATTTCTCAATTTTTAATAACTAATTGCTTCATCTTTCTCCCTCTAAGTGTTTCCTTATAAAATTTTAATTTTTTTTGGTTGGAGTGGGGCTTGAACTCTGGGTCTGGGCGCTGTCCCTGAGCGCTTTTGCTCATGGCTAGTGCTCTACCACTTGGAGCCACAGCTCCACTTCCGTTTTCTGGTGGTCAATTAGAGAGTCCAACAGACTTCCCTGCCCAGGCTGGCTTTGAACCTTGATCCTCAGATCTCAGCCTCCAGAGTAGCTAGGATTATAGGCGTGAGCCAGGGGTACCTGGCTTTCCCTATGAAATTTTACTGCACCACAAATATGCTGTATGTTTACTTACATGGAGATACATTCACAATGAATGTGTATCTGAAATTTACATACAGAAAGAATAAGCCAGTTCACATCCCCCAAAGAACCTATTTTGTCCCCCTTGAGGCTACCTCTCAGCTGAGGATTTGTGAAATAAACTAAGCTCCTAAGCGGACATTCACGTAAAAGAGTACTCAGCTTATTCATATCAGTTTCTAAGAGAAAAAGGAAACAGAAGAAAGGTACGGAGAGAATAAACTAAAGAACACAGAGAAATAGAAAAAATAGAGGGAATGGTGAAAGAGAAAAGCAAGCAGGTGTGTGCAGAAAGAACTAAATCAATGAAAAGGAAGTAAGCAAGAAAAGTATGAAGAAAGGGAAGCGAGGCAGATAACTCAGAGAAAACAGCATGGTATCCAGGGACAGAAAAGAACAGCAAAGTGGAAAACAAAGACAGCAAGAGAAAACAGAGGAAACAGAAATGGGACAGGGAAGGGAACATGTGGTAGGAAAAGACTGGAAAGCTTCTGAATGGGCAAAGGGCTTGCACTCCACACCACTGGACCTTCATGGGGCTCGGAGGCAGGGTTCTGCCCAGCCTGCCTCTGTTCTTGTCTACGCTCATCACAAGCCAGGTGCACAGAGGACAGGCTGGGCAGGAGTGGCTGTGCAGGGCTCTGTCTGTACCTTGTTGTCCTGCATGTCTCGGTTGGCCCCGTTTTTCAACAGTAGAAGAGTGGCCTCCACGTTATTGACAGCAGCAGCCCAGTGCAGAGCAGATTTTCCTGTGGAGAAGATGTTTGTTCATGAGCAGAGCAGAGCAGAGCACATCCCAGGCACCAGGACCTATACAAGAAAAGCTTCAACTCCCTCAGAGATCATGGCCAGTTGTTTGGGGGGCCCTGCAGGACCATAGTGGCAGCCTCCTCCCCCTGCATTCTAAGGACACTTCTGACCGCCAGGTCGCAGGTAACTTAGATGTGGTACTCATGTCCTCTCTGTGGCGGCGGCTCTCCTTCACATGCTGAGGACAATATAATGTACCTGAGGCGTCTGCACTCATAAGTTTTTGTCTCCAAAATGGGGCTCTAAGAGCCTACACAGGACAACCAAAAACCCTCACACAGAAAATCCTTTCTCACTTATCTGGAAACCCACACTGGCTTAGTTCTCTGATCTCAACATGTTGAAGAGAATGAGTGCATGAATGAAAGCAGAGGGACTGTGCATAGCTGTATTCTATGACGTGAGAACCATGCAGCAGCGCTTCCCTTGGAGACGCGCTGCAGGGAGGACCTGTCCCTACCATGGTCGTCCACTGCATTCACGTCTGCTTGGCAGTTGATGAGCTCTGCCACCATGCCCTCTACAGCCAGACGGGCAGCCAGGATCAGGGGTGTAGTGCCATCATTCATTCTGGCATCTAGATCAGTGACTCGGCTGCGGATCAGAATCTAGAAGAGGAATAGAAAAGTCACTTTGGTCAAAAGAAATAATGCAACGGAGAGACGAAGAAACAATGGAATCGGACCTGAGGCTACACTATAGGCTCCCAGAGAGCAGTAAAGTCTTACTATCTTTAAGCCCAAGAGTCTAACACAATCAATCAATGTTTGAGGAAGGAAGGAAGGAAAGAAGGAAGGAAGGAAGGAGGGAAGGAAGGAAGGAAGGAAGGAAGGAAGGAAGGAAGGAAGGAAGGAAGGAAGGATCCAACCCACAATGGATGATCAAGATGTACTGGCCACAAAGAAATGTACTACTGTGTAAGGGAAACAGATGAATTTCAGAAAGCATCTCATTCTCACACAATGCAAGATCAAGGTGATTCACAATCCCTTGTGAGGAGGGTGAACTCAAAAGATGTAGCACTGTACAGTCCAGTCAGGTCAGGAAAATGGCCGCTGGGCTGCTGGAAGCCCACATAGCTGGAGAGACCACAGGGGCAGTTAACACTGAGGCTCCCGATCAGGGGTGGCTCTCCTCACATCAGCATAGCAAAATGCAGCTGAAATGCAGCCTCTGCTGCCTCCTCTCACTATCTGCCGGGACGTTATCAGGCTTGCCTTTTCTTCTCTTCTTTCCCATAGCAATAGTGACTCATCTCTCAGAATTATTTAAGTTGGGTGCAGGTAGCTCATGTCTGTAAACTCAGGAGGCTGAGATTTGAGCATCTCAGTTGAAAGCCAGCAGACAGATCTGAGAGACGTTTTTCTAATTAAACAGCAAAAAGCCAGAAGTCGAGCTGCGGTCAAGTGGTAAGAGTACCAGCCTTGAGCAGAAAAGCTAAGGAAGGGGCCGTGCCCAGGCCCTGAGTTCACGCTCCAGTACTGGCACGGACAACCAATTACTGAGTGAATGTCAATGAGGTATTAATTGCCTTCACAAGATGAAACATCATAGACCTGTAAGAGATCCTTACATTTGCAGGTTCCTCACCTGGAAGACGCCTTGGGCATCCGCAGCCACTGCAGCATGGAGGGGGCAGCGGCCCATATTGTCCTGGGCATTGGCATCGGCTCCTGCATCCAGGAGGCGCTTGGCCGCATCAGCTCTTGAGTAGCGGGCTGCAAGGTGCAGGGCCATCTCACCAGTCCGGTCTGTCTGCGCCTGGAGGCTGGCGCCCTGGTACACCAAGTCGGTGATGATGTTGGCAGCGGAGTCCTCGGCATCCTCATCTTCATCACTCACGTCTGAGCTGCCTCCCCGAAGAGAAGCCAGCATCAGCGGGGTGCACCCATCTGCAGGAAAGGAAGCCCCAGGAAATGTGATTACTGCAGGAGCCCACCGGAAACGGAATCTCTGTGCTTCTTGCAAGGACGGTGCTAAGTTTTAGATCTGCCACCTACTTGTCCTCTGATGTCATTCATGTAAACAGTATTGGGAAAGCAAGAGCCACGTGAGCTGGGGACTCTGTTCTCAGTTAAACAACCTTTTCCATGCCATTAAAAAAAAAATTCGTGTGTGTGTGTGCATCACTGGGGCTTGAACTCAGGGTTTGGACACTATTCCTTGGGTTTCTGTGCTCAAGGTTAGCACTCTACTATTTGAGCCATGAATCTACTTATGGCTTTTTGGTGGTTAACTGGAGAGAAGACTTTCCTGCATGGATTGGCTTTGAACCTCAATCTTCAGATCTCAGCCTTCTGAACAGCTAGGATTACAGGTATGAGCCACTAGTGCCCAGCTCAAGTGCTATGCTATTTTAAGCTAGATAATCTTTAGCATATCCAGTATTTCTGAGATAACTATATGCATAATACATAAACGAAACTAATTCTCTATCCTCTGCTTTAGGATACAGTTTTCCTGTCCTACTGAAATCTAACATTTAGCCTGCTGTTTGTTCTCAATATGCTGTTATGAAACTGTAAGAAATTCTTTGCTTGCTTCTGAGTTCATTATTTCTACATCATGTTCATTTCCTTGAGCTGACGTAAGGTCTGTGGAGCTGATGGGGACACTCTGCCTAGTGCAGAGCAGGCCCAGCAGTGCTGACCTGGGCCCCGGACATTCACATCCAACACGTCCACCTCCTGCTCTGCCTGAGGAGGAGTGAGAGCCAGTGACGGTGTCCGACGGATGTCAGCGGCTTCCAGGTGCTGCTGTGTCCATGGGCGTCGGTCAATGGGGTCATCTTCTGAGAGTAAAGCCTCGTCTTCAGGCTGGAAGAGAAAACCATGCTTCTGAGCCATAGACTCTCACCAAAGCTGCTGACAAGTCAAGTCTCCTGCAACCCCACCGCACCACCCCCTTGAACCTCCATCCATTTTTCTCTCTCTCAGCTCTAATCTTCCCTCTGACTTTCTACTGCTCTTACCATGTGGTTCCTCTTGACTTTTCCCGCATCACCTGGGCAATTCTTTCCACCTCTCCATCCCTACCCCAGGCTTTAGCCCTCATATGCTACTTCTTGGTTTTTATTTTTTTCCCCTTTTTCTTTTGTTCCTGAGGCTTTGAACTCAGGGACTGGGAGCTGACCCTGAGCTTTTGTGCTCAAGGCTAATACTGCTCCATTACTTTGAGCCCCAGCACCATTTCCAACTTTTCTGTAGTTGAATTTTAAGAGTCTCATGGACATTTCTTTCCAGGCTGGCTTTGAACTGCAATCTTATATCTTAGTTTTCTGAGTAGCTAAGATTACAGGCGTGAGCCACCAGTGCCTGGCCTCATATTCTATTCTATACTCTCAGAGCACTTAATTCTGCTCTGACCTCTGCTTGGATCTTCCCTGCCTACAAAGGCTTCCTCCAATTCTTTGTCTTACTAACTCCTGCCTACCTTCAGGTAGAAATTGGACTTTAACTGCACTTTCTGGTCCTAAATAGTAACTTTGCCCATCTTTACTAGGCAGCTATGTGGCAGTCTCTACTGCCACTCTAGGGGATGAGCCTAGTTCAAGGCTTCCTTGCTGTACTTCATCCAGCATCCAGCCCAGAGCACCACAGTGTTATCAGTGTCCTGAGGTGCCTATAGTCCATGAGCATCAGGGCTAGCCACCCGCCTCCCACCCAGGACACTCTGGGATTAAAGACATCTGAAATGAGACTAAAGGATGGCTGACCAGATGGTTCTGCCAAAGTCAGCTTACCTTCGCTTTCTTTGGCTGGGGTCCTTCATCATCTACCCAATGTTCGCTTGTTCCAGAACCAATTAAGTTGGCCTCTGAGACTTGTACTTTGAGATTTCTGATATGATTAGAGAGGGGAAAAACAAGAGCAGAGGTCATGACATAGACACAATGGCTTCCAACACTTCTACCACCACCCAACTCCCAAAGCTACCCCCAGAGGATAGGCAGTACTTGATGTGACATTTCTGAGCATTTAGTTTCTCCTTCCCAGTGAACAAGAGCTTACAATGACAATGTGCCCCATCTCTGAAGCTGAGCTTGATTCCAGTGACATATATGTACAGAAGAGACATAGCACTCAGAACTGTCTGTGTGGTACCTCCGTCACTCACAAGTCATTTATAATCAGGGTCAAGATTAGGTAATTAATGAGCAGAGCTCAGAATGGGCAATAGGATACACTTTTAAATCTCATTCTTGCTTATTGCTATGCATGGTGGCTCATTGGCAGGACTCTCTTACTTAAGTCCCACGGCATCCTGTCCCACCGGCTCACGACGCTTGTGATTGCTGGAATCTCGACGAAGAGTGAAACCTTCAGGTAGCCAGAGGAAGCCATGTTTCCGTTTCCGTTTTGCCATGATGACCCCCAGCAGGATAATAAACAGGATAATGACAATAGCAACAGCAAGGAGATAGAGAAGCTGGGTGTGGCCTGGAGGTATGGATTCACCTGAAAATCCAGAGACCAGGGATGTGCTGACTTGAAGGGCTGACCCGCTGAATGGTGCCCCGCTCCCACACCGTGTCTTTCCCCAACCCTTTCTCTGTGACACCCAGGGAACTCACTGACAACAGACACAAGAGGGTATGACAGAGTCCCCTGAATAGCGTGAGAAGCCAGCAGAGCTGCTGCAGCATCAGTGTTCTTGAAGCACTGGTCCGAATCTTGGACACACTGGCGGTTGTCAATTTCCAGAAACACCTTAGAGCTAAGAGAGAAGAAGGGACATGGTGTATAGAATAGAAGGATGCAGGTCCAGCAGGCCAAGCCAAAATAGGGTTACCCTTAGGACACTGCTTCCAGTAAGAACTCAGAAGATGAGGATACTGTCACTTGGGATTCTAGGTTCATGTGTTTAAGTTCTTGGTCAGTCTAGTACATCCCTTCAGATTCTAGATACTGATGCCCACCTAGACCACTACTGGCCTTCCTTGGGGGCTGAGGGAACCTCTGACTGGGACAATGTATAAATAAGGTGTCTGTCCACCTCCTCTGACAGGTCTGAGTTCCCTACCCTTTCTCCTTAGTGGCATTCGGTACCATGTGAAATCCACTGGGCTCATGCTGGGCCCTTCTCTTCTGTCTATATTCAATTCTCAGTGAGCAAGAAGGTGAAACTCACGGTATACACTGACAAATAACATGAGCAACACAACTGGACATCACTGCCCTTGTCAAAGAGACACTATATGGTCAAAGGGTCTTGAAAACAAGACAAAAATTAATGCAAAAGAGGGTTTTGAAGCAGTTCTAGCAAAATGTTGGGATCCCAGCATTTGAGAAAGTGTTTCCCATACCCACCCCCTTGCTCTAGCTTACTTTTCAGGATCCCACCACTAAGGCAAATCTTTTTGTCAGGGAATGGGGAACATGAAGATTTGAACTCAGGACTTGCTGCTTTCTAGTCAGGCATTCTGTAGCTTGAGTCACACCTCTAGCTCTTTTGCTTTTGTTATTTTTGAGTCAAGATCTCACTTTGGACTAGGCTGGCCTAGACCACAATCCTATTTACTTTTCTTGCTATTGCTAGAAGGGCGAGCAAATGCCACCATGCCCAGTAGTTTCTGTTGAGATGCGGTTTCATGAACTTTTCTGCCCTGAAACTAAGATCCTTCAGTTCTTAGTTTCTTGGATAGTGGGAAGAACAGGTATGTACCACTGATCCCAGGTATTAAAGAAATGGAGCCTGAACTTAGGGCTTTGTGCTTGCTAAATAGAACCTTACCTCTTTTTCCCTCAACATCAGTACTGGGGCAAGGTGTCTATCATAAGTGGTGGGCCATCCTATTTGTCTAAGCTTTGCATTTCCATAGGCTGAGTTATCAAAAATGCTCAGCTTGCCAGGTGCTAGTGGCTCACCCCTATAATACTAGCTACTCATGAGGCTGAGATCTAAGGATCGCAGTTCAAAGCTAGCCTGGAGAAAATAGTCCACAAGATTCTTATCTCCAATTTACCATCAGAAAACTAGAAGTGGCACTGAGGCTCAAAGTGATAGGGTGCTAGCCTTGAGTTGGAGAGCTTAGCAACAACACCCAGGTGCCACGACTACCACCAACAAAAGCTCAGCTTTTTACAGTTAACCTTTAAAGAACCTACCCAGCAACCTCCTGATCGTGTTCATCAGGAAGAGACCTCCGTGCCACCTTCTGCTTCTTCAAGGCAGCTGGCTTCTCACCATAGTACGGGTACACCATGAGGCTCCCCTGGGAGTCCCGCTTAATGCGAAGGTTGGTGTGGAGCAGGGTGCCCAGGGCCCGCAGGAAGCTGCGTGAGTCCTGGAGCAGCTGCTCTGGGGGAAGCAGCACCACTATGACCAGAGTGCCCTCCGCCAGGTTCTCGGGCCGGTCAGCAGCACAGTCCAGCCCATCCCAGCCACACTCTTCACTGTTGCAGCCCTGGTCGCAGTGGTTGTCTTTGAAGTGGTCTGCACAGTACTTGTCATACCTAGCAGAGGAAAAAAAAAAGCAGAGAAAGGAGCTCGGACTAGACTGGGGCTCCAGTGGGCTTGGAACACTGTGGTTTTCCTACCCATCTTTTGTGGCCTCTATTGGGATCAAAATGCCCTGTGCTAACTTGAGTCTGTCCCTGACACCATGGGGTACACAGTCTAGGTTGCTCATCACTGAGTACTGCCTAGGAAAGGAGGCACGCTGTATGATGCGCTGTATGCACCCAGGGCTCCCGCACAGCCCAGTCTGAGTCAGAGTTTTCACAAAGCTGTGTCACGAGGAGCCGGGAATGTGGCTTAGTGGTAGTGTGTGAAGAAGTTCTGGGTTCGATTCCTCAGTACCACATACACAGAAAAAGCTGGAAGTGGTGCTGTGGCTCAAGACATAGAGTGTCAGCCTTGAGCAAAAGCAGCTCAGGGACAGTGCCCAGGCCCTGAGTTCAAGCCCCAGGACTGGAGGGGGGTAGGGGGGAAGCTATGTCACTGAGACCAGTCACCCACAATGCTTCCTGCAGTTTCACCCACTGCTCCCAGTAAGATAGCAATGAGTCTTAGGAGTAAAGAGAGCCACAGGTGGTTTCAGACCCAGAATTAGAGATGCTTTACAGAGAAACTTCTCAATTGAGCCCATTTTTAAATCTTTTTTCTTTTTGTGCTGATACTGGGGTTCCCAAGTCAGGGTCTTGTTCTCACTAGCTTTATTTGCTCAAGGCGAGCACTCTACCTCTTGAGCCACAGCACCACTTCCAGTTTTCTGGTGGTTCATTGGAGATAAGAGTCTCAGGCTGGGAAGGTGGCTCAGAGCACTTGCTTTGCATGCTTGAGGCCCTGGGTTCGATTCCTCAGCACCACATAAGCAAAAAGAAAAAGCCAGAAATGGCGCTGTGGCTCAAGTGGTAGAATGCTAGCCTTGAGCTGAAGAGCTAAGGGGCAGCGCCCAGGCCCAGGGTTCAGGCCCATGACCGGACCCAAAAAAAAAAAAAATCAACTTTATTGGGCTGGGAAGGTGGCTCAGTGGTAGAGCGCTTGCCTTGCATGCAAGAGGCCCTGGGTTCGATTCCTCAGCACCACGTAAGCAAAAAAGAAAAAAGCCGGAAGTGGCACTGTGGCTCGAGTGGTAGAGTGCTAGCCTTGAGCTGAAGAGCTGAGGGACAGCGCCCAGGCCCAGAGTTCAGGCTCCACGACCGGACCCAAAAAAAAAAAAAAGAAAGAGTCTCACGGATTTTCCTGCCCAGGCAGGTTTTGAACCACAACCCTCAGATCTCAGCCTCCTTGGTAGCTAGGATTATAGGTGTGAGCCCCCACCACTCAGCTTGGCGGACTCTTTACGTTGTAGGGCCTTAGGTCCCTCACCTTTGAAGGACTGTTAACAATAGCCATGCCCCAGAGTCCGCTGGGAATTAACTAGAGCAAAATGACATGGAATGGCTGGTAGGAAAGTTACTACATAGACCATAAAACACCCTGAAATTATAATGGTGAAGACAGCAGAAGGGTTATTCAGAGGCATAACCTAGCTCATGCTTCCAGATAAATCTAGACAGAGAAAGCAGTCTCAAAGAAAGAATGGGTGAGGAGAGGGAGTACCTTTCTAGCCATCCTGCAGGCAGGTGGTGTGAGCTGCTGCCCGCTAGTGGGCAGGGCCACTTCCAAGAGTTATTTCCCCCAGGAGGTGAGGCACGAGGCAGGTGAGGAGGCAGAGAGAGGCAGGGAGGGGGAGGTTACACAGCGAGCATGGCTGGTGCTCAGTCAGCCAGGGAGGGCACAGGATAGCGTGTGATGAGACAAGGCTGGCACCATCTGAAAAGCAGAGGCGGCGTGGGCCAAAGCAGCACTGGAGTGGATAGGAGTAGAGGCGGCGTGGGCCACAGTACTGGAGGATAGGAGCAGAGGCGGCGTGGGCCGAAGCAGCACTGGAGTGGTTAGGAGCAAGAACAAGAAGCCAAAGGCATGTTAGTGACAGTCTCATTCGCTTCTGGAGAGCCTGGGGCCCTTACTTGCATGTCTTGCTGTTGCCCTGACATTCGAAGTTGTCAAACAGGCACTCAGCGGTGTTACACAGTTGGTCACACTGGTTGTTGATATAGTCCCAGCAGGGGATGGGTGCGGTACAGTTGGCCCAGGGGTTCTCCATGGTGAGGGAACAGTCGCCCCCGTCCCACTGGCAGGCGTGGCTGTTGCAGGCCTCATCGCAGACCCCATCCCGAGCTTTGTCGATGCAGTACTGACTCAGACAGGTGGCTGCAGGGGTGCTGGTGGGGACAGGGTACAGCTCACACTGTCTGCCCCAGAAAGGTGGAGAGCAATGGCATGAGTAGTAAGGAGGGTGGTGCTGAGGGCGGCAGCTGCCCCCGTGCTGGCAGGGGTTACTGGCACAGCCTGACTCGCAGTCCTGAGGGTTGGGGCAGAAGCAGCGGGGTCCCGAGGCAGTGTGCACACAGTGCTCTCCTCTCCGGCACTTCACCTGTCCACAGCTGCTCTGGCATTTTGCCCCAGAGAATCCCTGTGGAAAGCAGGGGAGACATGAACAGGGCAGGCAGATAAGAGACTTTCTGTCCCTCACCTACTCCACAACTCTCTGGAGAGATTGATAACTGGTTAAAATCCCACCCTACCCTCCCACCCCCATGTAACATCCTGAACCACCAAGTTCTCAGAAATGACCTTTGCAGGTCAGTCAAAGGTAAAGGCTGAAGGCCCCATGAAAAGTGTGGCATTTTTAGTTTTTGTGCTAGTACTAGGGCTTGAACTCTGGGCCTGGGTGCTGGACTTCAGCTTTTTCACTCAAGGCTAGTGCTGTACTAATTCAGCCACACCTCCACTTCCAGCTTTTTGCAGGCATTTTGCAGAATATGAGTCTCATAAGATTTTCCTGCCCAGGGTAGCTTTGAACTGCAATCTGTGGATCTTCCCTGTGTAGCTAGGATTATAGTAGTCACTTGTGCCCTGCTAGAGTGTAGGGTTCTTAAACTAGAAACGAAGTCCACACATCATGATGGGACAGACGTTAGAAGGCCTTATCTATAGGCACCTCTCTAATTACTGCTAGATCACCATTTTAGTGGCTTTCAGCAGGAAGAAAAAGCATCCTACGAGGAATTTGGGAATCTCTGGATTCCAAGTTTTTCATATTCTACTTCTTCCTTGTGCTTTCTACTTGGTGTCAGCTAAGGTTACTGGAATTTCTCCTGGTGTCTCTCCACACATAATGATTATCTGCTTTAGGGAACTGTCAGCTTTTGGTAAGGAGTAATGTCCAAAATTGTTTCTTTCTTAATTGAAGAAGGAACTTGATCGCAAATGGTTCCTGTTGAAGAACATACACATTCTGTCTATCTGATCAGGGAGAATGAGCTCCAGCATGGGACCACAAAGCCACAACCAGTGGCCCTCTTTCATGGGACATTCCAGTGTTTGTGGGTTTTTTTCCTAATGTTCTGTAAACTGGTAATCACAGACATAGAAGCTGGCAGCTTCCGGCCAGGCCTAAACACTTCACAGGAAAAAAAACAAAAAACAAAAGCCAAAGCACTTTTTTCTAAAGGAGCAAACACTGAGAAATCTACCCATCAGGAAACTTGAAAAACCACAGTGTGAACTCAGCTTTGTGACAGCTCATATGAAGACCACTGTTCCCTAAACTGGCGGCAGGCCACTTACAGGGGGACAGAGACAAATGAAGCCATCAGGCATGTTTCTGGCCACAGCACATGTCCCTCCATTCAGGCAGGGCATCTGGGGACACACATCCATGAAGGTTTCACAGTGGCGGCCTGGAGGCAGAAAACAAACAGTTGTTTTAAAGGGCAGAAATAGTAACTTCACATTACTGAACCCAACCCCACTGGGAGGGAAACCAGACTTAGATGGAGCAGGGCTGTGAAAGAATTTGGGTTTAAGCTTCAGGAATGTGCAAAGACAAAGATGAACTTCAATGACATGATGGTTCATACCTGACCCAAACCATTTTTGTCTGTCTAGCTATGCCATAAACACAGCACAAAAAGTTATGAAAAGAGATAGACACAGAAATGACTCTAAATCTATTTTTAAATCTATTTTCAGGTGCTGGTGGCTCACTATGCAAAAGGCACAGTGATTCTTTCTCAGTATTACTGCACCCAAGCACCTTCCATATTGAACAGTTGCTCTTATTTTTTGTAAAAATTCCAAATTTCCTGAGGGTGGGGGTGGAGCGAGAGCGCGCCATTACCAGGGCTTTGAACTCAGTGCCCTGCACGGTGTTCTACCACTTGAGCCATGGCTCTGTTTCCAGCTTTTTGGTGGTTAGTTGGAGATAAGAGTCTCACAGATTTGTCTGCCCATGCAGGTTTTGAACAGTAATCCTCAGATCTCAGTCTCCTAAACAGCTAAGATTACAGAGTCACTGGACACCCAGAGCTCCTGAGATTCTTTTTTTTTTGTCAGTCGTGGGGCCTGAACTCTGGGCCTGGGTGCTGTCCCTCAGCAATTCAGCTCAAGGCTAGCACTCTACCACTTGAGCCACAGCGCCACTTCCAGCTTTTTTGCTGATGTGGTACTAAGGAATCGAACCCAGGGCCTCATGCATGCAAGGCAAGCACTCTACCACTGAGCCACCTTCCCTGTCCCTGAGATTCTTAACGATAACAAATCTTTAATATTGGAAAGGAAGAGAAGCAGTAAATCAAGGAAAGGAGGAATGCAGGCTAGAGATGGCTTTAGGATATTGCTGTCTCTACCTATGCCGAACAAGAATTCTGCAACAACCTATTCTCTGACTGTCAAAGAGAGTGGTAACCTGTTGAGTATAAGAACCACAACTACGGACTCCAGACAGATTTCAGTCTGAGGAACTGATGACCTGCCACATCTACATGTAAGTAACTTACTTAGCCCCCAGAGGCCATCCCACGGTCCTTCTCCAGAAGTGTTAGTGTGAGTGATAAAGTCCCTATTCTGATCTTCATTTTGCCCCGCATCAAGGACAAGACTAAGGAGCATGGCCAAGCCTTTGCCATGTAGGGGGCACCTGTGATGACCACAGTGGCTTTGCCCTGAATCCAGAGTTAGAAAGATGACAGCGACAGGAACTTGTAAGTATCTCAAGTCATCACACATCAGAGGTGGCTGAGTGGCATGCCCAGAGTTAGATGTAAGATTCTTGAAAACAAAATGCTAGTATTCTCAGATGAAAAGAATTCTGTGGATATATGATAAGGATGGAAACACTGCAGCATGAACAAACTTAATGCACAGTGTATGGTGAACATATTTTGCTCATATATACATATATAGCATGCATTTATATATGATACATATATGTATATACATATATGATATAATCAATTAAAAACAAAAGAGAACCTCAGGAAAAGTCAATGGTAGAAACTGATCATTAAATCTATGGACCACAGACCTACAAAAGAAATGGCCACTTAAACTGCCCATATATAGCAAGGTATTTGCTCTATACTGGATGTGGTCAAGAGTCATTCAGGGCTATATCTACAGTCACTCAACAAAGCCTTTCCAGGGCAGAGTGATGGGGCTGAGTAGGTTCTCACCAGTGAAGGCACTTCGGCAGACACACTGGTAGTCATTGGTGAGCTGGATACAGTCCAGGCTGCCCTCAGAGTTGCAGGGGCTGGAGAGGCACTCGTTGATGTCCCCTTCACACCGTTCCCCGGCAAAGCCAGGCAGGCAGAGACAATTATAGCCCCCAATCCTGTCCACACACTGGCCCCCATTCAGGCAGTGGGGACCCCCAGCACAGTCATCAATGTTCTCTTCACAAAGTAGGCCTGGAGGAGAGAGGAGATACAGAATTACAAGTGCCTTTTGAATACTGCTTTCCAGAAAAAGAACAATCTTTTTTGATCATACACACACATATTATATTATATACATATACATATATAATTACTGGTGAATTAATAGGATAACAAAAAAATACCCAAAGAAAAATTCAAACACATGTGAGAATCTAGAATTTGATAAAAATACTACCTCAAATCAATCACGAAAAAGGCCAAGCATTCAATAAATTGTGCCAGGAAGAATCCATAATCATAAGGAAAAAGTGCTCTGTATTCCAAATACTTGAAGAAAATATGGTAGAAATCCTTTATAAACCTTAGTGTGTGGCAGATATTGCTATGATTCTGACTCGAATGCCAGACGCATGGATTTAAAAAGATTGATAAATTCAATATGATTAAAAATATCTGGTTAAAAACAAAACTAAAAAAAATTTAAAAAAAGAAAGAAAATCAAAGGAAAGCCAGATACTGGTGGCTCACACTTGTAATCCGGCTACTCAGGAGGCTGAGACCTAAGATTATGGTTTGAAGGAAAGTCTGTGAGACTCTTAGCTCCAATTAAGCACTAAAAAGCCAAAAGTGGTGCTGTGGTTCAAGTGGCAGAGGCACCAGCTTTGAGAATAAAAGCTCATGGACAGTGCCTAGGCTCTGAGTTCAAACCCAGGATGGGCACCAAAAAATAAAAGAAAAAAAAAACCCCACTGTATTGGGAAAATACTTGCTTGTGATATCAGAAACAGGTAAATTCTATAAAATACTAAAATCAACAATGTAATATAATGGGAAAAAGGCACAAATACCAGGTAAATCATATAGGAAAAGGAAAACCAAAGAATTTTTAAATGAGCATATGTTCAATCACACTGAGAAGAAACCAGTGTTCTGCTAACATGGCAATTCAGCAATGACATCTAAAAGTATAAATGAACATACTTCCCAATCTAGCAGCTGTATATCTGCAAATATATTCTACAAACATACTTAGATGCATGCAAGATAACCCAAATATCTACAGTATCAGTTAAGTAAAACATGGAATGTTCACATGTGGGAATTCTGAAGCTATTAAAAAAAGATTGAAGATGTTCTTTATTTTGATATGGAAATGTCTCAAAGTAAGTAATAACATCAAGGACAAAAGAATGTGCTTAATATTCTATCTTCAGAGTTAAAAGGGGAAGTTAAAATATCTTTGTATTTGACTTCTATGTAAATGAATTTCTGAAGACTACTTTAGGAAAAAAGAAGACACTAAAGAAACTGAAAGGGGTAGTTCCTGTTGGTGAGTGTGAGTGTGTCTTTTTACTCTGTGCTTTTTCTTTTCTTTCTTTTTTTTTTTTTTGGGGTCCGGTCGTGGGGCCTGAACTCTGGGCCTGGGAGCTGTCCCTCAGCTCTTCAGCTCAAAGCTAGCGCTCTACCACTTGAGCCACAGCGCCACTTCCGGCTTTTTTTGCTTATGTGTTGCTGAGGAATCGAACCTAGGGCGTCAGGCATGCAAGGCAAGCGCTCTACCACTGAGCCAACTTCCCAGCCCCACTCTGTGCTTTTTCTATGTGTATGCTCATGTCTATGTGTGTATATTACCTTATTTCCTATTTGCAAATTAAATACAAAATAAAGTAAAAGTAAACAAAAGCAGTATGTACTCCCAGGCTCACAGAATATCTGCTATTTCAAGTCTGTGAATAACACAGGCAGAAATGCCTAGCCTACCATCAGAATGGAATCATCCGGAATAAATAAATCTATCAAATGAGAATCAACTCATCCTCAGCTTGAAGTAAAACAGAAGAGATGGGCAGAAGTACCCCGAGCACTAGGAGTTACAGGTGTACCCAAGATCCAAAGCTGAGGAGAATAAAGATACTCATCAATAACCAGAATAGTTATGCAACTCAGGATAAATAAACACCGCTCCACCTACCTGAACAAAGCCATGGAGAATTACAATGTTGTGTCTTTGTTCAGGTAGGTGGAGGTATGGATTAACTCAGAGATCTACAGAGCCTGTCATGGAGCCAGTTTTATCATCGTTCACTTTTCAAAATCACCTCAACATAAAGGAAGGATTTACACATTAGGAAACACCCTGGATGGAAGGTAAGTATGGCTAATTTCCTACCCCGAGTGCCAGGTGGGCAGGAGCACTTGAAATGGTTCACAAGGTCGACACAGGTGCCTCCGTTCTGGCATGGCTGGTTCTGGCACTCATCAACTTCATACTCACAGTTCACACCCTGATAACCTGGAACACACTGCCAGGGGGAAGCAAAAAGGACAAGAAATATGAGATCATTTCTGGAACAGACCACCAAAACAGGTGAGGTCACTATCCCTTCTACATTTCTCCTGAATCATCACATTCTTTGCCCAAGCTCACCGGCATTTATCTCGTCCTCTTCCCGCTAATAAAAAAGGGGGCTTCTGCGGGCTTCTGCAAACCTCCTCAGCATAGGCTCCTTCATCTTTAAAATATCATCCCTTCCTATTGATGAGGGCCCTATGATTTGAGCAGTATGTGTGGACAATAGTAAAGACTTTGTACATGTGGATCTCTAGGTTAAGAAAACTGCAGGCGGGGCTGGGAAGGTGGCTCAGTGGTAGAGTGCTTGCCTTGCATGCATGAGGCCCTGGGTTCGATTCCTCAGCACCACATAAGCAGAAAAAGCTGGAAGTGGTGCTGTGGCTCAAGTGGTAGAGCACTAGCCTTGAGCTGAAGAGCTGAAGGACAGTGCCCAGGCCCAGAGTTCAGGCACCATGACTGGCGAAAGAAAGAAAGAAAGAAAGAAAGAAAGAAAGAAAGAAAGAAAGAAAGAAAGAAAGAAAGAAAGAAAGAAAGAAAGAAAGAAAGAAAACTGCAGGTGGGGCTGGGAAGGTAGCTCAGTGGTAGAGTGCTTGCCTTGCATGCATGAGGCCCTGGATTTGATTCCTCAGTACCACATAAGCAGAAAAAGCCAGAAGTGGCGCTGTGGCTCAAGTGGTAGAGTGCTAGCCTTGAGCTGAAGAGCTGAGGGACAGTGCCTAGGGCCCAGAGTTCAGGCCCCATGACCAGCAAATAAAAAAGAATACTACAGGTATATACAGGAAACTGACATAGGTGGGCAGGGACAGAAGAAGGTAAGTCTCACAGACTTTTCTGCCTAGGCTGGCTTCAGATCACAATCCTCAGATCTCAGCCTCCTGAGTAGCTAGGATGACAAGTGTGAGCCACTGGCATCTGGCTTGAAGCAACTACATCAGTTGTTTTAGAGAACTGTTAGAATTATTGATTGATCAGTTGACTGTATAGAAAGAGGAAACAGGGCATGCCCTCAAAGTGTTTTCTCCTATTGCTGCTGCTATTCAGTTAAGTTTCAGAGATTTCTAGTGTGTGTGTGTGTGTGTGTGTGTGTTTGTGTGCACACGCGCACATATATGTGGTGAAATGCATCTAGTACTGGCTGTTGGAAATTTGGGGAGCAAGCCTGTTGGAGGAGAAATAGTTCCAGAGTATGAGTATGCTACCGTATTTCACAGGGAGGCTGACATAGTGATAACCACTATGTAGATGCCATATAAAAACCTATACACCAAACACATGAGACAGAGGCAGCTAAATTCAATACAGTAGTGTTTGTAACAGCTACACAATCTCCTGGGACTTGCTGACCTCTGCTTGCTCTGCCCTCACCTCACACCGGTATCCCCCAGTGAAGTCACTGCAGGTGGCGCCGTGCTGACAGGGATTGGATGCACACTCGTCCAGCTGCTCCTCGCAGTAGCTCCCTGTGTAGCCCGGAGGGCACTGGCAGTGATGGGTGTTGCCAGCACTGATGCAGACGCCTGAGTTTTGGCACAGGTGATCAACATGCACTTCTGAAAGGCAGGGGAGGAAAGGTATCAGGAAATGACACACAGCAAGTTCAGAAGAATTAATGAGCAAACTAATCTGAGATGGTCAAACACCTGTTTAAATTCTTTTTGTGTGTGCCAAGGCTTGAATTTCAGGCCTCATACTCTCACTTAGCTTTTTTGCTCAAGGTTGGCATTCTGCCACTTGAACCACACCTCCACTTCCTGGTTTTGGCTGGTTAAATGGAGACAAGAGTCTCATAGACTTTTTTGTCAAGGCTGTCTTTGTACCTCAATCCTTAGATCTCTTGAGTAGCCACAAGTACAGGTATAAGCCACCAGTGCTTGCCTGTGCATTAGCTTATACTTTATACTTTATTTTCAAATGTTATTCTTGTCTAGCTCTTCATAAGCCGCTAAGCCATTATCATTAAAATTAACTATGTTCTGAAAATGGAAGATGCCATCACTTCATCCCAAACATGTTTCCTTCTCAAACCTCTCAACCTGTTTCCCTAGCCTTTCTCCAGGGCTTTGCCCGCTTACCACCATCTGTCCTTCCCTCTTATCTATAATAGTAACATCAGTCCTAAAATGCTACTGGCCATACAGTATACCAGGGATGAGCCTGAGGCCAGGTTAGGCTCACAGTACACCAGGCTGAGCCTGAAGCCAGGGGTAGGCTCACTTTTGCGCAGGGCAGCCACCTCACAGGGCACGTTGGGCACATCGCAGTATGCACCAGTCCATCCAGATGGACACAGACACCGGGACTCTGCCTTCTCCTGGATGCAAGTGCCTTGGTTTTTACATGGAGATCGGCTGCAAAGGCTCACCAAGGTCTGAAACAGAGACGAAGGTATATTTACATTAAAATTCAAATACAGGAAATGAAGAAAATAAGTTACACTGTCATTCTTCTACCAATTGGGATCATAAATGCACAATATCATACCTATAGCATGGTCTAATTTTTACCCAGGCTGACCTTGAACCATAATCTTCCTAATTTCCACCTCCTGAGTAGTTGAGATTACAGGCATGAGCCACTGTACCTAGCTAAATATATTTTAACTTAAAAGACATGTAGGTAATTTGGTTTTGAAAGTATTACAACACTGTAAAATATTATTATTATTATCATCCCTTTAGGATAATAAAGATTTGTCTTAAAGATTAACTGTGAAAGATTTGATTTTGATTGTTATGATTTAGATATGGCATCTCCCACAGACTCACATGTTAAGGGCTTGGTCCTCAGAGGGTGGTATTTTTTGGAAAATTCTAGACACTTTAGGGGGTGGGCTCTATCTTGTCCCTTGCCCCCTTCCCTCTTTGCTGCTTCCTGGCCACCATAAGGTAAGCAGCCTCTCTTCCCCATGTGCCCACTGTGATGGTCAGCCTCACCATGAAACCAGCCTACCATGATCGAAACCTCTGAAGCCACGAGCCAAATAAATCCTTCCTCCTTTCAAGCTGCTCATCTCAGAGCAACAAGAAGTTGCTTTTGATGGTTTACAATGTGGAAGGGATACGTGCTTGTGTACCAAGCATATTTTTTCTCAATCTCTTAAAATCATCTTATATTTGTACGTTCACACCATATTCCTGCTGGGATCACCAGTTTGGAATCTACCAGTTGTTAAGAAAGTGACTCAGGTTTATCTCAGGCACTGCCTCTCTGAGATCCACCATCTTCTCTTTGGGAAGGGGCTCATTCTGCCTGGAAGGAGAATTAGTGTAATACTAAGCTACTCTGGGGAACAGAGTGAATGGGCGAGATGAGAACTACCTGACAGTTTTTCCCAGTGTAGCCCAAGGGGCAGGTACAGCGGTAGGTACCCAGGCCATCAACACAGGTTCCCTCATTCAGGCACGGATGAGAGTTGCACTCATTGATCTCATGGAGGCAAAAGGGACCCGTGAAACCCACAGGGCACAAGCAGGAGAAGGAGCTGATTCCATCGATACATGTGCCACCATTGAAACAGGAACTGGCAAGGAAAACAGACAAACACCGTCATCATGTGATCAGGTTCTCTGACCTACCACTGCACAGAAAGCGCTCAGAAATCTAAGATGTTACAGAGGCAAATATCTCTGAGCCTCCAAACTCGTATGTCCAGGAAGTCTGTTTTTTTTTCCCTCCAAATAGACTGGTATCAGAAGCCCTGGATGCTAACTTCCTTTCTATAACCAAAAGGTCAGAAGTGTATTTAAAGGCAGAACTTACCAGGTACCACTGGCTCCTGCCTGTAATCCTACTTAAAAGGCTGATATCTGAGGATTGCTGATCAAAGCCGCTCTAGGCAGGAAAGTCTGTTAGATTAACTACCAAAAAAGCCAGTAATAGAGCTATAGCTCAAATGGTAGAGAACCAGCTTTGAGCAAATAAGCTCAGGGACAGTACCCCAGCCATGAATTTAATCCTCAGGACGGCACCAGAAAAGAAAAAGGCAAATATATTCTCTTGTTCTAGGGGAAGTTTTCCAGGCTTTACTCAGTCCTCTGGTTTTTCACATACCACATTTTAAAGTCAACTTATTTCATATAAAATGTGTTAAATAGTCCTTCACTGTAGAATTATGACACAGAAAGGAAGTTTAAAAAAATATTGAGCCACAAGTGGTAGAGCACTTGCCTTGAGCTGAAGAGCTCAGGGACAGCACCTAGGCCCAGAGTTCAAGCCCCACAACCAAAAAAAAAAATTAGCCAGGTACTGATGGCTCACACCTGTAACCCTAGCTACTCAAGAGGCTGAGATTTGAGGATCATGATTTAAAGTTAGCTGGGGCAGGAAAGTCCATTAAACTTTTCAATTAACCACCAAAAGCCATAAGTGGAACTGTGGCTCAAGTGGGAGAGTATCAGTCTTGAGCAAAAAAGCTAAGAGACAGCATCTGAGTTCAATCACCAATAATGGCACACAAAATAACAAGAACAAAGAAAACAAACAAGAAACAATTGAAACTTCCCGGAAATTATTCAGAGTGCTAACAAATCTGCAAAGAAATAGGATTTTTAAAGGTCAATTCTCAACTAAAATGAACAAGAGAGTAGGGAGAGAACAGAAATGTGGCTCTTTCTGTTCTATAAGCAAGAAGTAAAGGATGATCCATCCCAGGAAGCCTTCCTGCCTCTAACCTGCAGTCTTCTAACTATGTCTATGAGAACAGTGAGAGAGGGCTATGTGGCAGGACTCCAGTGGAGACCTCATCTCTGCTCCACAGTCTTAGCATTCACTGTGAAGCCTCCCATCCTCCCTTTCCCTCCCCTGAGACGCAGGCATGTAAGGTGCAGGGCTCCTCACCTCTCTGTGCACTCATCGATGTTGTTCTCACAGTGCACGCCATCAAACCCTGCCTGGCACTTGCAGGTATAGCTGTTGACATAGTCAGAGCAGGTACCACCATTCTTGCAGGGTTCGCTCAGACACTCATTCATGTCTGCCTGGCACTTTTCCCCAGTGAAACCAGGAAGGCAGAGGCAGGAGAAGGTGTTCACTCCATCGACACAGGAGCCTCCATTCTGGCAAGGGTCTAAGCCAGGAGAAAAAAGTAGAGCTCAAAACAGCAGTACTGATTTGAATCTTAAACTCATACAAGTGAGTGACCTATGGGGCGCCGGTGGCTTGCACCTGTAATCTTAGCTACTCAAGAGGCTGACAGCTGCTATTTGAAGCCAGTCAGGGCAGGAAAGTCTGTGAGGTACTTATTCTCCAATTTACAATAAAAAAAGCCAGAAGTGAAGGTATGGGTCATGTGTAGAGTGACAGCACTGAGAGAAAAAGTGCTGAGGCCTTGAGATCAAGCCTTAGTATCAGCACAAAAGACAAAAGCCAAAGCAAAACAAAATAAAGCAAGGATATTACATTTGAGAGTTTAGTGACACATAAAATATATATTAACAACAGAACAAAGATGAGGAGGGTTATAAACCAAATATGCTGTTCATTATCATAGGTGATGGTTTTGGCTATCACATCATATTTTATGACTATTCACTTAAGACATTTGCAGTTCTTTTAAAAAATAGGTCAAAAAAGGCTATAGAGCATTGCCTTCTCTTGGTCATGTTTAAAATGTTACCAAGTAATTCTTAATGGACTGTACTGCTTTGACTCCTAAAGAAAGCAGCTTCAAAAAGATTTTAAAATCACTAGTGTGAAGCAGGTGTCAGTGAGCTAATGCTGTAATCCTAGCTACTTGAAAGACTAAGATCTGAGGATCATAGTTTGAAGACAGTCTGGGCAGTAAACTCCATGGGACTCTTTATCTCCACAATTAATCACCAAAAAGCTGGATGTGAAGCTGTGGCTCAAATGGTAGAGTGCTAACTGTGAGCAAAATTGCTCAGGAACAGTGCCCAGGCTCCAAGTTCAATCCCCAAGATTGGTACCAAAAAACAAACAAACAAACAAACAAAAACCACGAGTGTGGTGAGAACCAGTGGCTCATATTTTTAATCTAGCTACTCAGAAGACTGAGATCTGAGGATGGAGATTTCCAGCCTAAGCAGGAAAGTCCATGGGACACTTGGACTCTTAGCTCTAATTAGCCAGCAAAA